TTATATGATTGTTGTGTATTAGTTCCAGATATTGTTGTGTGAAAATACTGTACATTAATACCTTAAAAAATCTTTATTTTGGTCAAGCACCACAAAAACATTAATATGCTACAGAGAATTAGTTCCTGACTATCATCTTATAATAATATTTATCTAATTCAAGAATTTAATGCGGATTTCTTGTTTGGCTTAGGGATTATTAGATTATTGGCGTGATGGGTGATGTGGTAATATGGAGTGGATAATGGAATCTGGAGGATTTTGTAAAGAGAGAAAACTAATGGACACTGAGAGATAATAATTTTGCAAAGAGAATTCTGATTGATTTCCCAAGTATTACAATTCAGTTGTACAAGCTCTGCCCCCTCTCTTCTTGGTTATGCTTTTTCTATAACATGTTGAATTTGTTGAAACGTCATTGCTTACGTTTGCCATATTTTGCACATGTCTACTATTCTTACATCACTGCTTACGTTTTATTATGCTTACATCATTGCTTGCATCATGTCCTAGTACAGGGAATCTTAATGCTATTCCGTAATCAGGATCTTCATTCTAGTAGTAGGGGTCTTCTACTTCATCCTCCGTGGACAAATGGCTTCCAAATTCCTTTAATCGTTCTTGACATTCTTTTGCATTTTTTGCCGCAGCCAGTGCCGTCATTGCTTGACTTTTGAGGGTTAAGAATTCTGTATCCTGCTCTGATTATACTGGGGATGTTGCCATCTGATTTGCTTCGACTTCGACATCTTCATTGTTGAACCACCTAATGACTGTTTGTCTGCAGGCGCGACTAACTTCGAATTTTGGCCACCATTTGATTTTGATGATTCTGTTAAGAAAATAAGGTCTTCCTTCCTTTATAGCATATTGCAAATCCCAGCTGACGATCCAAGATAGTCCAAATGCTAAAATAAATTGCAACATAGGATCAGGGGTTACTCCTTCATAGGACACGTTTTCTTCTCGTTAACTTCCGTGGGAAAAATTGCTTCAGTGGGTTTGATTTGTTGAAACCAGTTCATGAACCATTGTGGAAAAATCCTTTGATCGCAAGTTCTTGTGAAGAACACAAACCATGAATGGATGTAGGGGCGATACCAGAAAACTTGCTTCCATGCCTTTTGATAATCATAATAGTTATAGCTTCTCATGCCGCTCATATTTAATGCCGAAAATTCTTTTGGTGTGCAAGGTTGTTGGTTCCAGTCGGAGTAGGTCATGACTTTCAGGATTTTTATTTTTGAATAGGCAATCAAATCTTGAATTTTATTGTATGTATGCTCGATAATTGCCGATCCAGTATCTCTAAGGATTCTCTCATAATATTCTCTTGTTTTTAATGGGGTTTCTGGGAAAAAGTAAAAGTTTTTTGGGAAGATCTTTTGCAAGGTATCTTGAATGTTTGTTCCCATAATTTCGGTCTCTAAGGGAAAAATAGGAATAACGGTAGTGTTGACATAATGCTGTTGCTGTGAGAGGTAGGTATTATCTGCTGAGTAGAATCTGGTTGCAATGGTTGTGGGGGCCCTAGGATGGGCTATGGGAGATAATGGTCTCATTGTCGTTTTTGCGGTGTTGGTGGGGCTGCTGGTGTTGAATTTATTAATGACGAGGCATAATTCGGGATTCTTGAGGGTGAACCTAAGATTAATTTGCCTGCAGAAATATTTGCCGGAGTAATAAGGGGGGTACTTATTGCCTTGTTTGCTAAATTATAAGAATTTGTTGCAGTTGTTGCCGGGAAATTTGCTGAGTTTATTGCCTTTTTTGCCTCCTCTTGATTGCTGGTCTCATCTTTTTTTGCTCCTCCGAAGAGTGTCTTCTTCTTAATCATCCTGCAATATACCCTGTTAGTACTGAAAAACTATGTAAAATTCTTTTTAATTCATCCTGACTCCATCTATCACGTGGTCTTTCTCTCATAGCTATTTTAACTACTTCTTCTGTTGTTTTATAATATCGAGCCCAATATTTAACATTTGCTGTTGGCACTATTCTATGTATTACTTCGTTGCTTGGTATGGGTTGCATTAATTTCTTGGTTATGGTGACACTTCTTCCTGCTCGGTAAATTTTTGCAGGGGATAAAGGAAGTGTATAGTAAGTTGCTACTTCCAAAATTCCCGGGACTACTTTTGTGAACTCTACTATATCTCTTATACTATATTTTTCTTGTGTGGGATGCCGATAAGGTAAATAGCCACTTTCAAGTCCTTGCTCAAATTCTGCCTCGGTAATCATTTTTATAGTAACTTTTTCAACGATTCTATCATAGATATGAAAAATTGCTCCTTTTTATAATATTCCTCACAATTGCAAATTTCTTCATCTAATTCATCTCCGATTTCATGTGCATCTTCATGTTGAGTATGATTCTGATCGATTGCTTCTAAAGTTTCTTTTCTCAAACATTCTATTGCCCTTTTATTCGAGAAATCTATGCAACTTAATCTTTGTATTGCCTTTTCTATATTTAGTATTTCATAATTTAGTAGGGGCTGTCGGTTACTTATAGTTGCTTACCCTGCAAGAATTCACGAGACAAAAAGTCAGGCAAATTGTTAGATTCTCCTTTAATATGTTCAATAACAAAATCAAAATTAGATAACAAAGCTTGCCATCTTGCGAATATCTGTTTCGATACTAGGTTTTTGACATCTTTTTCTAATACAAATTTTGCTGACTGGCAATCTACTCTTAATAAAAATTGTTGATTAAATAAATCGTCTTGAAAAGCGTTGAGACATAGTACTATTGCTAATATTTCCTTTTTAATAGTAGAGTAATTTTGTTGTGCACTTATCCATACCCCTGAATGATATCTAACTAACTGTTCTTGTTGATTTATTTTTTGCTTTAATACTCCTCCATATCCTTTGTCCGAGGCGTCGGTTTCTACTATTAATGGTACGTCGTCTTGTGGTATTCCCAAACAGGGTAGTACTTTCACCTTTTGCTTCAGTAATTTTACTGTTGCCGTCATTTCATTTGTCCATTCTGGTACTTCTTTTCGTAACCTTTTGTATAAGGGGGCGTATATGGTTCTTAGATGGGGAATAAAGTCAGCGACATAATTAAGGTCTTAACTGGATTGATTCCTGGCAAACTCCAGTTTTCAGGGAAACTAACTTGATCCCATTCTAACATTCTAGGTGTCTGTATGTTCATGTGTTCATAATTTGCTTCTATTAACGTAATGGTACCTTTTGGTGATTGGTTAATGGCTTTGGGACTAATGCTTGAGCTCATTAATTTGTAGTAGACCCTATAAATTATTGCTGCATTTTTTGAATTTTCTATCATTGTTAAGGGGATATTAATATTGAGAGTTAAAACCTTTAAAATATTTTCATCAAATAAATCTACGGAGTAGTTTAGATATGAGTTAAAGTAAACAGGGTCATTTGCTAAATTACTTTCACATACAGCTATTAAAGAGTCGGAGAAGTTTGCGAATCTTGCATCTCTTAAGCATAATAATATTGGAGAGTCTAATCCTAATCTATGTAATGGTTTAATAGCCACTTGCACTAATCCTATATGCAGAAATCTATATTTTTGCTTATGCCTATTGATATTAGATGAACTCAACAACTCGAAATGCTCAGTTTGAGGACTTACTGGTAGTGTTTGCTCGGTCGTTTCTATTAAATATTCATGCGGTCTATCGAAGATTCCTACCTTATACACCTCTGTTTTTGCTATTTTAAGGATATTCCAGTTATGTAACTAATTTTCTATATCACTAATTCGTACTTCTTGCCGATTTATTATTGTTGAATCTGAATTCATATTATTTTGCGAGGAAGCCGAAGAGGCAGATCCTCTAGAAAAGCTTCTTAACAATCTAGATATCGGGAATTTAAATTGTTAACCGATCCATAGAGGTATAGAGAGGTATCGTGTTACCTTCTTCCTAATCTGATGACGGGACCACTGTCCGGGACCACCCTTTTCTCTTACCTTTAAAAAAGAGAAACAAAAAATTTTTTAAAGCTTGAACAATAAAAAGATTATTATTTGGCCTTATGAAATTTTAAATAGTAAAACTTGTAAAGAGTCAAAGCTTTTAGAAACGCTCTCGACCCAAAAAAAAAGAAATAATAACTTAAGAAAGCTTGAGGAAAAAAAAGACTTCCGCTGCCATTAGAATTGCCATTGTGCTACAGTGGATTATTTGATAACCATTATCTTAAATTATGTATTCTACGCAAAGAATCGCATGCTAAACAAAGATTTGTTGTTAGGCTTTGCACATTATAAATAGTAAAGTTTTTAAAAAAGCCCTCTACCCCAAAAAAGGGCTTAGATGAAAAAGAATTTCCGCTGCCGGGATTAGAACCCAGATTTTCAATAAACGATTAAAATAGCCATTGTGCTACAGCAAATTGGTTGACAATTATCCGCTTATAAAATTATGTAATTTTAAAAATTGCATGCTAAACAATTCCGAGAAAATTAATTTTGTTGCTAGGCAAAAAGAATTTCCGCTGCCGGGATTTGAACCCGGAATTCTAGAAATAATTAGAAATGCCATTGTGCTACAGCGGATTATATGATTGTTGTGTACTAGTTCCGGATATTGTTGTGTGAAAATACTGTACATTAATACCTTAAAAAATCTTTATTTTGGTCAAGCACCACAAAAACATTAATATGCTACAGAGAATTAGTTCCTGACTATCATCTTATAATAATATTTATCTAATTCAAGAATTTAATGCGGATCTCTTGTTTGGCTTTGCAAATTATAAATAGTAAAGCTAGCTTTTTAAAAAGCTCTCTAGCCCAAAAAAAAAAATTAAAGTAAAAATGAATTTCTGCTGCCGGGATTTGAACCTGGAGTTTCTTAAAATGATTAGAATAGCCATTGTGCTACAGCGGATTGGTTGATTATTATCTGCTTATAAATATATCTATCTAATTTTAAAAATCGCATGCTAAAGAATCCAGAGAAAGTAATTAAATAACAACGGATTTGTTGTGGCAAAAAGAATTTCCGCTGCCGGGATTTGAACCCGGAATTTCTTGAGATGAATAGAATAGCCATTGTGCTACAGCGGATTGGTTGATTATTACCTGCTTATAATAATGTTTTATTTCTTAAAATTGCATGTTAAATATTTATCTAATGAAAAATTTATTAGAGAGAAAATTGATGGAAACACATGTTATTTGGAAAACAAACATCTACAAGAAAAGGTAGGAACTATTTTTTTATTATTTTTCACTAGTTAGTGGGGGAAAACTGAGAAAAATAATTTTCTATTTTTTATTTGGAAAAATATATAATACTTTGAATTGAAAACTCTATTTTCTATCTCCATTTTCCAATTTTTCAAGAAAATGAGAGTATTTTTATTCAAGTGCCTTAATATTGTTCTTTTAGCCTTAGTCATCAGTTCACTAATCTCCTACAAATCGCACTCAGTTAATAACAACGGATCTAGGCCCGCTATAGCGAATCCTGCACGATTGTGATCCAAGAGGTTATGATCTCATCTAGTTTCTAGGAATACTAAGAATTCTATAACAGGCATCACGATAAGAAAATTAATGTCTTGTGAAAAGAATTCTGAAATGAATTATTATATAATAATAAATAAATGATATCTGGTCCTATTTTACCTGTGCATTTAGTGCTGGGATATGAGTTATTCAGGTAACCCTTATTGTGTTGATATCGATTGATTTTTCACAAAGGTAATGCTAAAATATTCTTTTATTATTTCAATAACTGTAGATATTTCTCAAAATGAGAAAAATTAACTCCGTGTACACAGTGAAAATATAAAATATTGCCAATAAAGATGGGGACATTGTTACCATTTCCCCCTATTACCAAGGAAATTTTAATCGTTGGAGGCAATGCTACAAACATCAAATTCATGTATCTACATTAAAAATATCAATGAAGAAAGCAAGAAAACACACTTAATTTTACAATTGACAGAATCATCCTTTTTTCATCTTGTGAGCTTATACTGAACTTACAATACCAGCCACCAGCATACGGAAATCAACAATATAAACACCAAGCCCATCCGTACTGGTTATCTTGTACCTGCAGGTCTTATTCATATTAAAAACCCAGTACTTTGTATGTTGGCATAGTCTCGGTAGCAATTTGCACAGTCGGGGACTTCTCTGGAAAATGAAGGATTATGGTCTTTGCACAATGTATATATGAACTTCAACCCATATAAACCCGCTATTTTATGGGTTAAATGGATAAATTATCCAATTAGACCCATATAAAATTGTACTGACCCATTTATACCCATTACCCATTTATTCATGGGTTAAATGGGTAACCCATTGGGTACCCAACCCATTTTGCCACCTCTAAATTATGAAGCAACTTTCAAGGAAATCTTCTGATATTCTGCATCCTCATGCCACCAGTACTGGACCAGAAGCGGATGCTTGCTCCCTGTCTTCTTCAGAAGTTGAACCAAATGAAATTGAATATGATTGATGCTTTATTAATTCCGGTCTCAAATCTCATTTTGCCTGCTTTTTTACGATGCCCTGAAGATGCCATGAGAACAACAACAGCTAATACAAACATGAATAGCATGCTAACTAGCAGTCCATAAGTTTTTCGTGAAGATCTCCTGTACTCTCCAAACAGAAGAACACCCCAAAAAGTGCTCACTAGCGGGAGCGCCTGAACAGCATCTGCTGCTGCATACCCTGCAGCTTGGCCTCCCATAAATTGGAGACCATTCCCAAACCCACACAGGAAACCGGCCAACAAGGCCCACCCTCTGCCATTCCAGTCTTTAAGATAAACTTTTAGTGATGATCTTGGTAAGTTTAGTACGGGTCGATAAAGGAAGGTGACGTTGAGAATGATTCCAAGTAAAAAGCATGAGACAGAGAACCAAAAAAATGCAGTGTAGACAACCAACTTTGGAACCCCTTTCTTCAAGGTGTGCCATTGATCATTTGTTGCCAAATTAAAAGCCGGTCCGAACAGAGAGAAACAAAGACCAGCTAACGAAGTTATCCCCAGTCCTATTGTGGTGCTCTTCCCAAATACCTGATATAGGAAAGCTAGCTATAATAACATGACATAGCCCCAAATCCATTTGACAGAAAATTCATGCATGAAAAGGGGAAAAAGATGGCAATATATATTATTCCTCAACTTAGTACCATAAGAAAGCGGAACCACCTACCTTTATGGCTCTTCTTTTCTCAAGTTGTACAAGGAATTCTGCTGTCCCAAATTTCACCTTTGAAGTGTTGCTTCCGTCTTCCACATCCTTCATTACTAGAGAGTAAAAGAACAAGCTGATGAAATGAAACCAAAAAAGAGGGAAAAAAGTTATTCACGAACTCCAACAAGCAACATACGGTACCTGCATCTCCAATATCTTCTTTGCATGTGGCAGTCTCTGAAACCCTGCTCCAATTAATTTTTAGCAGAAGGATCAGGGTTATAAGAGTAGATTGTGGACAAAAGAAGCATGGTACGACATATGTATACTGTTGCAGAGAGCTAATGAAAATCACTAACCAAATGAAAATAAAACAGAAATCTTGGGATAGCAAAATAGAACAAAATGGAAAGACAGTTTAGGTGGTGGATACTATGTTTGCTGCTGATATCGGATTGCATAATAACAAGAAAACCACTTAAATAAAAATTTCCTAGGTACCTGTACCCCTTGTCCATTTGTTAGGAAGTTCTAGAATAACATGCATACCAACAGTCAAAGGAATAATTTTTTACTCTCTTGTGCTCATTAATTCAATATGGAAGTGGTGCTGGGATTTGAATACCGCTCCACTACCATGTCAAACCAAAACTTTAGCTAATTGGTGAAGTTATTGACCAAGAAAGATATGCATTAACTTTTTTGTACCCATGAAATTTGATGTACACAAGAAAAATATTACACACTCTGCTCCAAATTTACTTGCGAGCTTTGCTCTGTTATCAGCTGCATTGGAAGAATGAACAGCTGAACCAAGAAACACAGCAACGAGAAAGCAGGCAACACCGGGAAAAAGAATCTTGGCGTCGTTAATCTTGTCATCCAAGAAGTAGTTCAAAGTTGTGCCTGAGAAAACCAACACCAAATATAAGCAATGAACTTGGCCAAGTACAATGCTAACAACTTGGATGGAAATGTTTTGAATCCACAGTCAGAATCGACCTACAACAACAGAAATACTGGAAGCAATCACTTGGGCCACTGATAATCCGACAATGGCCCAAGCATACTGTGTGGATAGATTTCCAAGGCTGAGGACCACGCCACCGGCCATGGCAAACATAACGGAAGTCCAGTTATCCTGCATCAGTCACCCCGGAGGGTTAGCTCTGCACAGATTTTCTGCTGCTTCAAACAAAGAAAAGAAAGGCAACAAACAACCCAACTAGGTGATGACAACAGTATTGCAAGTAGAGGAAGTAAGTTAAATTGGCTCAACGTACACAGAGCTGAGAAATTTGGGTCAAAAAATTAGGTGCCTCAGGTGTGCTCTTTCCTATCTCACCGAATGTTAGAGCTATAATTACAGCAGCCAGGAGATTGGTGATGGAATAATCGAGATAAGTATGCTGAGGAAGGCGGCCTCGTCTTTCTAACAAAGTCATAACAGCAGGCCAGGTGCCCAGGAAGAACAAAGCAAGTAGCATGCACACTATGGCTCCTCCTTTGCTCTCCACCACATACATTTTCAATGGCCTCAATGCAATTCTCCTCGGAGATATCTCCGAAGATATAGATACTGAGCGAATTTAGAGAGTCAAACTATACAAAGAGTACGTCACAAGAGACAAAAATACAACTTTAATACATCAAGTATGTCTAAAGAAAAGGAGAAAAGCTAATGTCTCAAGGACCAAAAAAGCAAAAGCAACGGCCAAGCTTGAAATGATATGTAAATCCTAAAGAGAAATGACAGAATCCGAAACTGAGCTGAAGAAGAAGAAGAAGAAGAAGAAGAAAAGATTATGTAGAGTGACGACAAAGGCGCTGTACATATAAGAAATCAAGAAAGATAATGCTTCACGCATCATAAAATAGCTGGAGTATAAAACTGGTCCACATTAGGTAATACACTATTATGAGCAATAAATGTAGGAGGAAAGAAGAATTAGCCTATTATTACAAATTTACAATTGTTTAATCACTCACATGGAAAGCATAAGTGACGACATCGAAGATCAATTTGGACCATGTTAATCAGAATTGACGGCGATATAAATATATGATTAGTGCTTAAATTATTACAGAATACCTGTAGCATAGTGGTCAAAAGAAATCAGAGTTCGATTTTAAGAAAAGAAACAAATCGCAAAGGACAAATCTTAAAGTAGCAAACAAACTATCAATGATTTATTAGCCAATGGAGCAAAGAAAGAATCAGCAATGTTAGTGTGTGTTAGTATAGTGTTCTACTGTTATTGATGCATCAAAAACAATCAGCAATGTTGGATGGGTATGGGTGGTTGCAGACAATAAGACTAAAACGTATATAAAATATGAGAGGGTTTAAGTGCGCTGCAGTAGAGAGTAAGAAAATGAAAGAAAAAAAGGGTACTTTCCTTTCGTCTACTGGTATTGTTCACCAATTGTTTCGATAGAATGCCTCAATGACTCCACATGGTTCAATTCCTCAATTCAGCATCAAGCAAGAACCGACAATTCTGCCAGAACAACTTAGTGCACAGTTTGCCGTATAACAAAAACAATAGCATGACCGTTTATTAACTGTTTATGACAAAGGATGAGGGACCCCCCCAGTAGGCAAAACATCAGAATCAAATAACTGCAAAGCAACAGCTGGGTTTAGTTCAGAAATAAAGATTAATTAAAAGAAAAAAGAAAAAGACAATGAATGGAAAGAGAGACGACTGAGAAGCAGTGTCTGCTTCATGTGACATGGCCATATTGACTGAAAAATAGAGTCACTCTGATACATCTAGCATATTGGTGGAGTGAGAGGCCAGCCAAAGCTTGCAGGGCAAGATTTGAAGGCGAAGCAAATTTCTTGCCGTTGTGTTTCTGTCAAATTAACAAGTTATGGAGTACGAAATATCAGAC